TGTTACTACTAGCGTGGCACCTGTTACTACTAGCGTGGCACCTGTTAGTTCGGTATGTCAAAGATGACACAGCAAGACTGTTGACCGTGCAGATTTCACCTTCCCGTGCGTCAGATTTGCGTCCTGTGAGGATTCTTCGTTTGGCGAAGTTGGTGAAGTCCGTCAGACCATTGTACATCCTGGTGGTGAGCGTCACCGCTGCGGTTCAGGGAGTGGTTTGGGTCTTGGTGCTCACGGTGGTGACGCTTTATGCTATGGGCATTCTGACCACGCGTTTGACACTTGGAGAGGGTGTTTTGAAGGGTTGTGGAACTGGGGCTTGATGCATATGGTCGAGCGCAAGGGGGCTTCGGACAAGTTGCAGATGCTAAAGAAAGGAATAATGAAAGGACTAAAATCCAAGGGCTTTCAAAGCAAGGTCTATGAGTCAATAATGAACACATAATATAAAGATCATCTATATATAGGATGACCTCAGGATTGGGCACAAGATGCTTTTCGATGCCTCGGATGCCACGGATGATGCTTTGACGGCCCCCTTCAAGACCGTCCCTGATAGCATGTTCACCCTCTTCCGTGTGATGAGCGGAGCCCAATCCGATGCAGAGGCAGCTGCATTGGATTCCATCATGGATGATATTCCCACCTTCAAGTTTGCCTTCGTCTTCTTCATGGTGACCAGTTCCTGGACCTTGCTCTCGATCCTAACAGCCGTTGTGAGCGAAAATATGATCTCTACCACGTCAGGCCAGGAGAAGGAGATCCTACTGATGTCAGAGGAAGAAGATCGAAAGCGGCATGTGCAGGAGGGGGCTTGCCAACTTTCTTTGTTGGCTCACTTGTACACCATGTTTATTGTTATTGCAATAAAGAACAATCTCGAGCTTATTTGCTTCGTTCCTATCTTCCGATTGACTAGGTTGCTTCCACCTGCTAGGACCTAAAAGAGCTCTTCAAGGAGATCAACTCCACGGGCGATGGAATTGTTCGCGAGAGGGATCTGATCCGCTTCTTGCAGAATTCCTACCATGCCCAGCAAACGGCCAAGATGTGCCGTGTACCGGTCCGCCATGTTCACGAAGTGATGAAGACCTTGGCCATCAACTCCGAGGTGATCCGAATGGAGCAGTTCGTGGAGTGCTTGCTCGATGTGGGAAATCCCGTGACGGAGAAATCCACCATGCGACTCGAAGCATTACACCTGGAAACCAGGACACGTTTAGAAGAAAGCCTTGAAGACTTGACACAATATGTGCAAGTCATGAAGGAGTCTCACCCATCTCAAGATGCAGACGTAAGACAGCTGCAGCATTCAGTTGATGCCCTCAACGGCAAGCTGGAGCAAATGGACCAACGGGTCGCAGCTCGCGATGCTCGCGATGATGCGATGAGAGCTGACCTCATGCGTTTGCAGGGGTCCGTAGATCTCCTGCATCAGCGCCTGGACAAAATGTTCAGAGCAAGCTGATGCCGACATCAAGCTTCGGCGAGGAAAGAACGTGCCAAGACTGGGAGAGGGAAGTCAAAGGTCTTGGCATTTAGGGTATACAGCGGCTAGGCTCTCGGAACATGTCCGCAGTCTTGTTTTTTTGAGGAGTCGTCAGCTCATATGGGCATCTCCTCGGCTTAGGATGCGAGTCTTTTTGAGAAGCTTGGGCGTGATCTGCACCAAGGCGCGTTCTGTTGGTGGCAGTCAGAAACAGATGGTACCACGGTGAGTGTCACCTTTGATCCTTTGTCAGAATGCCTCACAGGAAGTGGTGGTAGAGATGCTGCAAGCTGGCGGCCTACATAATCGACGTTGCGACTGCGTTGAGGCGGAATTCGGGGGAGGGACCGGAGTTGCACAGTTGGTCCTGAATAGTTTTGCAGTTTGTTGGATGGGCGGAGGGGTTTGGAAAACATCGGCAGAGAGTACTGCGTGCTGTACATATATATATATACACCTAAAACCCTAGGAACCAAATCATTAGTGCGAGAGCTTCTTCAAGGAAGCTTCCCCCGCCCTCAGAGCTAAATTAAGTAGGCGCCTACTTAACTAAGTAGGGAGGCAGGGCCTCGAGCAAAAATAGATAAACAGTATTAAACATGTGCTAGCGTTGGTCCTAAGATTGTGCCAGGAGCTTTGGCGAGTGATCGCTGCATACCGAGCTTGTGAAGGCTTTTCTTATGAGGCACGTCAGAGTTGATTGAAGTTTTTGTTATATTTTGATCCAAAGAGGTCCAGAGTTGCTGGAGGGTGAAACCACAAATAGAACTTTAATGAAAAAGTGATTGGGAAACCCAGTGCTTGAAAAAGTGCATTTCTTTTCGTCCAGGAGATTGATCGGGCGAAAGAGGAGCATGATCATATGTGCAGGGACACGCGTAGCAGGTGCAGTCCTCGGAGTTCGCCGAACTAAAGTAACTCTGACTCTGATTCCAATTGGAATGTTGGTATATATATATATATACATTTACCTATGCATGTATATAACACACATTTGTAACATTTGTGCATTTGTTCCCAATTGCCTTTAATTTTGACAAATATGCTGCAGAGCGAACAAGGAAAGAGGCGTGATCTCACTCTTTGGTAATCCGCCCCCGGGTGTAAAGAGTGAGTAGCCTAAACTTCTTGTTCCGTAGTGTTTCGGCTTATCGAGGTGAATGACAGCCTGTCGTGGCTGTGACAGTCGCCTAGGGAAGCCGACAGGTTCATCGGGGTTTTGTGATCCCTGTTTTATCGTGGTCAGGCTCGAGAAGCTTGTGTTCACGAGAGCTCCCTACTCCGCGACTCAGCTCTTCCATTATTTGAGGAAGGTCTGCGATACAGTGGGGGAGACTACGAGTCAGACCGCACGGCCGGCTACGTGGACAGTGCCGGAGCGCCAGTCTCTGACTCTGCAAGCGGGAAGCCGCCTGGAGGTTCGGGACCAGATCCCTTTGAGAAAGGGCAACATCAGGGTACGCCCAACTCGGAAGCAGCGCCGCACGCAAGGCCGTGAAGGAGGAGAAGGAGGCAGAACGGGACAAAGGCCCTTTAGCCGAACCAAAGGGTGAAGCAAAGAAGAAGGACTGCTCGAGAAGGAGGCAAAGATCAAGATCCAGGTCTCGAAGATCACGGACTCGCAGAAGGAGCAGGGAGAAGAAGGATAAAAAGCGGGGCAGTCCAAGCCCTGAGAAGAAGAAAGAAGTTGACAAGAAGCCAACCAGTCCACCGGCAGAGGAGGACGACGGAGTAGAGGTTGCAACTGAGGAGGAAGAGGAAGCAGCTCCAGAGGAGATTAAAGACGACGCTGAGGCAAACAAGCGCTACAGTCTTACACGGACAGCAAAGCCTTCAGCAAGAAAGCCTTTGCCCCGACGGCCGCGTACACCATCGCATTCGCTGCCGAGGTATTGCGAGGAAGAAGAAAGGAAAGCCCCACGCTGGAAGGGGTACAAGCACGTCCTCAGAGGACAGTACTACTCGAACCACGGCGGAGGCCGTGGTAAAGGAGGAGGAACGGGATGGCGCCGAAAGTAGCACGCCGCCCGGCTATGGAGCCCCGTCGGAGGGGCATTTTGAGGAGGCCAGGAGCAGCAGAAGAGGAAGATCGGGGACGGATCCCTGTACCAGAGGAGGAGCCAGCCATTGGGGGGCTGATCCATGGAATGGAAGCCAGCTATTACGGCAACGCCTGCCAGTTTTCTGGGAAGGTCATCGAGGAGCTCAGAGATGCATCGGGGCGTTACTTCATGGTGAAGTTGACGGGTACGGACCTCGAAGCCCTGTTGACGTGGGGGTCCTTCAAAGAGGGCTCGCGACCGGCTGCGGCGAAAGGCTCAGAGGTATGCCCAGAAAGAAAAAGAAGAGCCGCAAGAAGAAGATGGCTCGTACCTCGACCAGCGACTCAGGATCAAAGAGGAAGAAGAAGAGGAGGAGCAAGGAGACAGAGGCCGCAGGGGAAGAGAGCCCTGTGAGAACAAGTTCATCGTCGACCAGCAGCACCGCAATTGAGTTCGAGGCAGTGAGTCGGAAGGTCATGTAAATTTTATGGGAGAATTTTTCGTTCCCAATTGCCTTTAATTTTGACAAATATGCTGCAGAGCGAACAAGGAAAGAGGCGTGATCTCACTCTTTATATATATACTACAGGAAAAATATATTTACCTATGCATTTATATAACACACATTTGTAACATTTGTAGTTAGAGAGGGTAACATAGTGAGCGGGATTGTTCTCTGTGTGCGGCCGCCCATCTATTGTAGCCTGTCGTGGCCCGGTACTACGCTGTTGAACTTTTGCGTCTTTTCTTTGGAGCATTTCTGGCTGATGGAGGGCCACCGTGCCGGGGTGATTTTCTGCAGGTTTATGACGGGCGCGATCATCTCGGAGACGCTCTTGACGTTGGAGACTGTTTATTGTTTGGCTCCTGATTCGGTTTGCTCATGTCAGGGCCAAATCAGGTTGAGAATGACATGACCTTTCAAAAGATGGCAACCAAGTTTGTCTCAGCCCAGGTGCCGAACATCTCAACGGCGTCATTGGCGAACTGGGGGGGGTCCGGAGCCCCAGCAAGCCAATGACAACAAAGCCTTCAAATCTGCCTTGGTCAGGAAGAGCGGCTACAAAAGGGGCCTGTGAGCTTCTATGAGTTCATTGTCATGTACCGTCGCTTGCACAACATCACGAACCTTGGAGATATTGCTTCACGCTCACTGAGTAGCTGAGTAGCAAAACGTTTGAAAGTGAGATGAAAGCATGTAAAACTAATTTGGTGACTGACATGCCGACGCGCCGATATGCTGTGAAGTTCTTTTCAGCACTGCGTAGCCGTGGCTTCTAAGGATGAAAGCCTTGGCTGAAAGCTTTGACAAGGTGAGCTTGTGTGCACGTGTGGCGGGTACGTTTGTGCAGTTGGGTAGAGCCAGTTACATAAAGAGTAGCACATGCATAGCAACTATTCAGTCCACTTGCAGACTCCTCTTGCAGACTCCGTGTGTGTTTCTTCACATGGAGCCGCACCCAGCAGCAGAGGCCGACAGCAACAAGGACGGTGTGGTCTCGCCGAGCGAGGTGATGGTCTTGTGAAATCTGGTGAGAAACAGGAAATCAAATGAACCGTCTACAAATGAAGATTACGAAAAAGGTAAAGAAAGGTGTTGGGGTCCCTTTAATAAGGTCCCCTTTACGGGGGGCCTTGTTCAAGGGGCCCAAGGCCCCTTCTATTTTCTTGTCTTCTCGATTGGACGTACACCCAAGTGACGGAACTGCGAATGATCTCTGGTGAAGGGAAAATGGTCCTTCTGTTCAGTACTTGAATGTACTTCTCACCAAAGCGTTCGCGTGACAGATTGCCTCAATGTCTTTCGGTAGAGCTAGGGGCCAGATGCGTGGAGGCCACAGACTGCCTGCGTCAGCTTGGCTTCACATTGCTCCGCGCAGAGCCTTGGCTGCCAATCTTCCATGGGCCTATGCCATCCATTTCCAACTTAGTGAGTCAGAGTGTCGTGACATTCCCAGTGCACCGGGAGAGCGTTCGGCGCGTCATTCATGGAGGAGCTGCGGGAGCTCTTAGAACTCATTGGCGCTGAGAAGGCTTGTGGGGCGGGATTGATTTGGGGTTTGGGGAGTACTGAGGACGGATCGAACATAGATGAAGCTCCTGTATGTTCTAGTGCTGACAGGGCGTTGTTCAATTGTGTGTGTGTGTCAACTTAAAAATCACAGAGGATTGGCATTTGGCTCGAGGGATTCTTACATGAGATGAAGATGAGGCTGTTTCTTTGAGGGATCCCACGCTGTATATGCGTAGGAAGTCCGACGCTGAACATGTGAGGTTTGCCAAAAGATTCCTGCTTTTCGTGCTGGCAGGAGGAAGCCCTCCACTTTGATGCGGTCTATGCGCTCCTCATGGAAGCGCGCAACCAGTTCCTTGGGCCACGACATGTGTCACTGTGTCGAACGCATGGAACCTCTGCCAGTGTCAGATGAATGACTATGCAAGTAATAGATGGTGGTACCTGCTACCTTAGGCATGGCTTCACGAGGGCGGAAGCGGAGGATCTGAAGGTCCACTTCGATGCCTTCTGTGATGAGGATGGCGAGATGCCCAACCTGCAAATGCCCGGGACGCCTAGGGCCAGTGGGCGGGTGGTATCGGCAAACTTTAAAAACTTAGAAACTGGTGAGTCACTTGTGGTCAGTGACATGGGTCGAGGTATGACCTCCTTCGTTACATTGGTCATGAGAGCACTTTGGACGAGGTGCCTTGGCAGAAAAGTCGGCCACCTTTGTGAGGAACCAGAGATCTCCGCTCCAACCCCTGGCGATGTTGATGGTATTGAATCTGATAGAAAACTAATATATAATATATTACCTTTCTTCCTTTCTTTTTCTTTGTCTCTAATAGCGATGGCCTGCAACCTAAGAGTGATGGCCTCCACCCAAGCATTTCTGACAAGCGATTTTGGTGGCATTGTTCGCCTGGCAGTTTTTGCAGGTGAAGGAAATGCTGGACACGGTGGATTATAACCACAATGGCAC